AGTCTGAGAGTCTTGGTGAGACACAGATTCAATATACAAGAAAGGACTAAGGATGAAGCTCAGTGTGAAAGCCCTGGGTTCAATTTCTAATAATGCTACCCCCTGCAAAGGTATTCATGATATCAGGACTTGAAAATGGAAGGAGTGACTAAGCCAAATACCAATAATGTTTCATAAATGACTGAAACTATTATTGTCAGTATATGACAGTGAAAGGATAATCCCTTGCAGGATACAAGCTGCTGCTTTTGGTATGTGAAGATTGAAGAGAGTAATATATGTGATCCAAGTTGGGGTTAGAAGCAGATTCCTCTTCAGAGAACTGTGCGGGTGGCAGGGGGATTTTCAGGAAAGTCAGTTTCCACAGGGAGGTGGAGCGAGGCCATCATAGAGCAGATATTCCAGAGGGTAGTGGGAAAGTTCTAGGAAGGTGAAGTACAGGTGGTCAGAGCAGAGGAGAACAGGATGGAGGGCCATACAGGAGGAAAGGGCTGCCCAGGGGATGAATTTCTCGGATTGTGGGCTTTTCTGAATTCTCCTACTTCCTTTCCCCACTCTATTCTTACTGTTTCTCTCCCTCACTGGACATATGCCCCAGCCCTTTATTAGTCCTCTCTCAGCTTCAGTCCTCTCCCAGCTTCAGTTTCCTTTCTGTTAAGGCGGTATCAGCTGCTCTCCTTTGCTGCCTCAAACAGTTGACTTTACAGGTGTACTGTAGCGAAGTCTGAGGCTGGACGTACTTTAGTCTGTGTCCACATTCTTGGGCAGAGGAAAGGATCACTTTAATTTCTGAATCTGCAACTTCATCTTGTTTCCATGCTGTCCAGCAGCCCTTCTTCCCTAGAAACTTTTTTTCACCTCAGAATGACTGCTTCACTTTTCTGAATCCCTCTCCTATTAACCCTAACTACAACTGTGCTTTGCAGATGAACTTGACACATTCTTCATAGATGAAGTTCACCTCTGCTTTCTGCCACCAACCTCTTGATTGATTGTCTTGTTTTTTTGAGACAGGGTTTCACTTGTACAGTTCAGGTTGGCCTGGAATGCACTTTGTAGGCTATGCTGGCCTTGAACTCACAGTTATCCATCTGCTATAGCCTCCAGGTGCTGGAATTACAGGTATTTGTCAGGTATTTGGCATGGGCCTGGCATCTACCATCAAATTTTTGCCGTTTTTTTTTTTTTTCTTCTAAATACGACCAGTTCTCTTCCATCTTTAAAACCAGTCCCCCTCATCACTCAGTCCCATTCTGTCACATTTCCTGTGGAGCTAGACTTAACGATTTTTCATTTCTTATCCATTATTATTCAACTTGCTTTGCTATATAGGCTTTCACCACATTACTCCTAAGGTCCTCCTTACAGGATCGCTTGCAGTAGTTTTATTATTGATTCTAATTAGTTCAGCATAGTCATTTTTTCCTCAGTTGATCTTTTTTGTTGGGGAGGAATGACTTGGGTTTGAACCAACTGAGCTCTATCCCTTGTCTCCCGCTGTGCCTTTTGATACAGAGACTAAGTCTGAAGTTGTCCAGACTTGACTGACTTGAGATCTTCCAGTTTGAGCCACCCTGAGTGCTGGGATTCCCGGGATTTGTGACCATACTTGGTTTCAGATGGGTACTGTTAAGCACTTCTTCCTAGAAATAATCTCTGTGGTCCGCGATTTCACATCTTTCGGCTTTTCTTTCTCTGTGGGTCCCTCCTCTTTGCCCATCTCTTAATTAGTGTCTGTCAGTGTTTTTTTCTAGGCCTGTGTCCCTTCTGGATGACCTTTCTTTTCATATTGTTACTCAGGACTTATCAAGACTCTTTTCCTTTCTAGATCTCTGACCCAAGCTTTCAAATGTTTTAGACATCTTAATGGCATATTAGCAACATATTATCAGTTCATTATTACACTAAATGGCACAGAGTATTTTCCATTTTGTGCCTTCTGTGGTTCAGACATAGTCATTTCTGTCAGGAAAGTCTAGCAACCCAGCTGGTTCCCTTGCTTCCTGTTCCAGTCTTGCTGCTAGTTCCATTTCCGCATTCCAAAAGAAAACCAACCTACCTTTCTTCCCTCCCTTCCTCTCTGGGTGTCCTTCACACTCTCCCATATGGGGATTAAACTAGGGCATTCCACTGAGCTACATCCTGAGCCCTTTTGAGACATGAACTTGCTAAGTTGCCTAGGCTGGTCTCCCATTTGTGGTTTTCTTGCCTCAGCCTTGCAAATGCTGGGATTAGAAACATGTACCACCACACTCTGCCAAAGGAAAACTGTAAAATACAGAGCCACATAATGTGGCTTGCCCCTTTGTAGATGTTCAGTGACTTTCCACTTAAGATCTGGAGTCTTCACTATGCTCTGACCTCTGCTGACTATGCTAGCTTTGTTTCTCATTACTCATTTAGTACCATTACTCCAGATCTACCCAACATTTGGGTCCTAAAAGGCAATACAATGGGTGCTACTTCCCTTTACCTCTGCCTACTCTTTCCTGAGAGTCTGACTTCCCTGATCACTTTCAAATCAGGGGAATGTGCCTTTTCTTGTGTTTTTAGGCTACACAGTATCTCCGTAGCAGAGCAGTTTTTAAGCAACAGGACAGAAGACTGCTTTTACTATTTTTGCGTGCTTTGTAGGTTCAGTGATGATAGAAATTATGCCTGCTTCATTCTCTGTAGTATTCCCAGCACCTAGCAGAGTCTGTGGCATGTCATGAACAAGTGTTTATTGTAGGAACAAACTGAAGAAGGAAACAGTAAAGACCACTTGGTACTGAATATGGATAAGTTGAAGGCTTAACAAAAAGAGATAGACACAGACAAAGAGACAGAGTGACACAGAGACAGAGAGATAGATAACCTGAATTTGTATTCCTCCTTAGCAGTTTGTTTGAAAGAAACTGTGTGTGATGATAGCTATTAAGTAAAACATCGAGATAAAAATTGGATAAATGACTTGGCCACAGCAAAGTATTGGGAATGAGAACAAAAATTAAGTTTATCAAATTCTACATTTAACAAATTCAATTTAAAAGACTACCTTAGATTTAGTGAAACTGAATATTACCTGGTGAATGTACTTTTTGGTTTTCATTGGGGTCTCACTGTGTCCCAGGCTGATCTTGTACTCTTGAACTCAAATGATCCTCCTGCCTCAGCTTGCTGAGTAGCAACTGCAGGCATATACCACCTTATCTGGCCAGATGTAACTTGTGTGCTCATAGAGGACAAAGATAGGCACACATTGCCAGTGCCACGGTATACAGTCCCATCTAGGTTACACATCCATACAGCCTAATATAATCTGTCACTAGTTGTAGCTAGGTGACATTTTAAGCCTTCTAGTCTTCTATGTTTTCATATATACATCTGTTTCAGTTGAAGAAACATCAGTAGAAATGACATTAAAGAACTGTGACGATCTCAGGAATGGTGGCACATACCACAGTTGGGGAGGCAGAGGCAAGAGGAAGGGAAGCTCAAATCCAGCTTGGGCACTTTAGGAATTTAGCAACAGCTGGTCTCAAAATTTAAAAAAAAAAAAAAAAAAAAAAAAATCTAGGGATATATGTAGTGCAAAAACCCTGGGTTTAATTTTTAGTACTCCCTGCACCCACACACATGAATTGCACCTTCATTCATTTCAGTGATTACTTTACTTTTTTTTTTTTTCAGTGATTACTTTTCATACCTTTACCCAGCATCTACATGTTTGATAGTATTATATATGATATTTATATGTATATCTTCTCATGTTTTTACCAGCACTATTGTGAATATCTCTAAATATCACAGTCTTATTCTATAGTAAATTCTTGGAATGGGTTGAAAGTCAGAGCATGTAAAAATGATAGTTTGCTTTGAGGTGATTGCATATACCTTTCTGAAAGTGTTCCACTGAGTTGAAAGACATGAAAATACAAGATTTCTGTCACTTTGAAGCATTGAAAGGTGGGGGAAAGGGAGAGTTATGTGTATAAAACTTTGTTTTTCTTTACATTGGTTTAATTTATATAGTGTCATGAATTTTTAAAATGTGGACAAGTAGTTTTATATCAGATGATAATAATTTCAATGTTTATCCCTTCAGAGAGTAAATGAAAATTTGTACCCATTGCAATTCTGTTTATTAATGTTAACTTCTAGGCATTTAAAAGTTTTTTCTTTTAAATTAAAACGTTCAAGAACTGGACACATAGGCTGAGTTATTAACTCTAGCTAAAGTTGTTTTTGGAGTCATAGATTTTGATGCTGTGCCATAAGTCTTTATTGAGAGGTCTATGAAGTTCATGCTTCCTATGATATTGGAGAACATGTTTAATTGCATCACGTATAGTAATAACACTTCATGAAGACCCTGGTGAAAAATTACATACCGCAGTGCCACAAATGGTTGTACTTCTCCAGTGTATGTGGTTTGTTTATGTCTAATGAGAATTGTCAGCATTGTACAGGTTATGTGTACTCAGAGCCAAAACTGAGATCTTCCTCTAGTGTTCCCTTTTAGATATAGTTTGGGAATAGACTTTGTCAAAGTCAGATTCCTTTAGAGAGAAAAAAAATGTCTTTCACAAAGCATCTCAATATCAGTGTGGGATTAATGATTACTTTTATTATAATATCTGCTTTTGAGCTCTTCCAATTTAAAATTTTGTTGTATTAAAGTGATAAACAGCAAAAAACTACCTCATTACCCTTTAGTTAGTTATGAAGGCCATCTCAAGGTAAGCTAGAGTTGAATCCAAAAAGCATTACGGAATGGGTGTAACAATTTGTATATACATATATTTAGATATATTTACCTAAGTATATAAAGTTTTTCTTCTGAGGGACAGGAATATAACTTATTGACATGAGAAGCAGTTTTGTTGTGGCAGTTACTCTGTTTCATAGTTATTCTGTTTCTGTGATTAAACTTGAGTAAGAAATTCTGTTAATGAGTTGTTTGTGCTGTGTGTAAGAAGTGAAACTATAGTGCTTATTTTTGCTCCCTTCTCTCTTAGGTCATTTGGATCCAGGATTCCTAGCAAGTGACAAGACATCTGCTAGCAATGCACCACTTAATGAAGAAATTAATATTGCCTCTTCAGATAGTGAAGTAGAGATTGTGGGTGTGCAGGAACATGCAAGGTAGGCTATCAATTGGAGTATTGTATTCTGATATTTTAAATTGTGAATTTCATTTTAACCAGAAAACAAATGATAAGATTGTAGACCCGCTGACATGAAAGATGAGACTGTTTTCTTTGGCTTAAGAAACACTTTGTTGGGGCTGAGGATTTAGCTCAGTGGCATAAGCGCCTGCCTTGCAAGCAGGCAGTCGTGAGTTCGATCCCTGGTACCGATAAAAACTTAAAAAAAACCCCAAAAAACAAAGAAACACTTTGTTGAGATATGTAGGAGCCTCAAAAAAGTGTTGCATATTTTCTCATATCAAGAACATTTCAGTCATGGATGTCTATGAATTACAGATGATTTTTTTTTTTCTTATTTTAAGAAAATCTATAGGGCTGGTTGTGGTGACACACGCCTGTAATCTCAGCGCTTGAGAGGCAGAGGCAGGAGGATTATTGCAACCTTGAGGCCACCCTGGGCTATGGAGTGAGCTCAAGGCCAGCCTGAGCTGCATAACAAGACCCTGTCTCAAAAAGACAGAGAAAGAGAGCGAGCAAATGAGAGAGAGCACGTGTGAGAGCGAGCAAGAGAAGAAAATATATAGATAACTTGGCTGATTATTATTTTCTTAAAGGTCCAGGTAGTATTATGAACATAATTTTATGAAGCTTGCCATTCTTTTTTTTTAAATCCATTTTATTTCAGGGAGAAAAAAAGGAAGGAAAATAACACTAAAACAGAATTTCAAAACACATCAGAGGGTAACAATGGTACATACATTGTGTATTGTCATTCCCAAATCATTCACCCAGAGTACAAGACATCTATCTACATTCAGTTGTCCGAACATTACTAACACAAATCTTTCTTTTCAGTGGACTCAGAGAAAGCAGTAGTATAACTATCTTAACTAGTTTTTTAACATACACACATATATGCACACATATACATATGTTGTTTCTTTCAGCTTCTCACACTGAGATAATATGTTTATACATGTGTCTTATTTCATTTATGAGTGTCAAGTTGCATCATTTACCTATAAAAGTCTCTAGTTTATCCTTCTTTGTGGCTGAGTATTACTCCATTATATAAAAATACCACATCCTTTTTCTCCATCAGTCAACGGGCATTATAAAAATACCACATCCTTTTTCTCCATTCATCAGTCAACTAGGCTGTTCCCAAGATCTAGCTATAACAAATTGTGCTGCTTTAAACACGGGACACATATATCACTGGGATATGATGTTTTTAATTCTTTTGGGAAGATACTGAGAAGAGGAATAGCTGAGTCAAATAGGACCTTTAGTTCTTGTTTTTTGAGGAATCTCCATACTGATTTGCACAGGTATTGTACCAGTCTGCATTCCTACCAACAGTGGAGAAGGGTTCTTTTTCCCCTACAGCCTCTCTAGCATTGATTTCTTGATAGTAGCCATTCTTTCTGGGGTAAGGTGAAATCTCAGGGTTGTTTTAATTTGCTTTTTTGGGGGGTATTGGGAATTGAACTCACAACCTAGTGTGCTTGCCAGGCAGGCACTTATGCCACTGAGCTAAATCCCCAGCTGATTTGCATTTTTCATCTGAGAAGTGTGTATTCATCTTGGATGCCCGTTTTTGGATTGGCTCTTTAAATCTGGGAGGACTGATTTTTTTGAGTTCTTTAAATGTTCTCTATAGTAATTTACATTTGGCAAACATTTTCTCCCACGCTGTGGGTTGACTCTACTCTGTTAGTGATTTCCTTGCTGTGCAAAAGATTTTTAATAGGGTGGGATCTCAGTTGTTAGTTCTTTGTGATAGTTCATGTTCAATTGGGCTTTTGTTCATAAAGTCTTCATCTGTACCAATGTCTTAAAGAGTTTTACCTATTCTTTTTCCCAGCAGATTTAACATTTCTGTTTTAATATTAAGATTTTTGGGGCTGGGGATTTAGCTCAGTGGCATAAGCACCTGCCTTGCAAGCAGGCAGTCGTGAGTTTGATCCCTGGTACCAATTTAAAAAAAAAAAGATTTTTGATCTATTCCACTTTTAGCTTAGTGCATGGTAAAAGATATCATCTTTGGCAAGTGTATAGCCAGTTTTTCCAGCATCATTTATTAAAGAGGTTATCTTTCTTCCAGTGAATGTGTTTGGCACCTTTGTCAGAGGTAAGGTGACTTAGTGTGTCTGGAGTTGTTTCTGCTTCTTCTAATCTGTTTCACTGATCTTCAGGTCTGTTTTTTTGCCAGAACCACACTGTTTTTATCACAGTAGCTTGATAGCATAATTTCAGCTCAGGGATTGTAATGCCCCTGTCTTGTCTTTGTTGCCCCAGATTGCTTTTGCTATTCCAGATCTGGTTCCAGATAAATTTTAAGATTTTTCTCTAATTCTTTGAGATATGCTATTCGAATTTTGATTGGGATTGCACTTAATCTGTATAATAGTTTTGGAAGAATGGCCATTTTCACTATATTGCTTCTTCCTTCCCAAAAGCATGGGATATCTCTCCATTTTCTAATATATTTTTCAGTTTCCTTTTTTCAGAGTACTGTAGTTTTCAATGTAGAGATCTTTTACATCCATTGTTAGATTGATTCCCAGGTAGTTCAGTTTTTTGTATGCTATTGTAAAAGGTGTTGTATCACTGATTTCTCTTTCAGGGGGTTTGTTATTTGTGTACCAGAAGGCTGTTGACTCTTGACTGTTGACTTTGTATCCAGCTGTGTTGCTGAATTTTCTTATTAAATCCTGTAGTCTGTTGGAGTTTTTGGGGTCCTCTAAGTATAGTATCATGTCATCTGCAAATAAGGATAGCTTAGAATTTTGCCATTCTTCAAGGTAGAGGTCAACAGACTATGGCCCTAGGCTGTACTGGCCTGGCTCCTGGTTTTCTAGGGACTGAGTTAATAATAATTTTTACATTTTTATTTTTATATAATTGGATAGAAAATACTCTGTGATATAAAAAATATATGAAATTCAGATTTTAGTATCCATAAGTAAAGTTATTCTAACAGGTATGCCATTTCATTTTCCTCATTATCTATGACCTTTTACACTCCAGTAGCAGAATTGAGTACTTTTAATGGACTGTGTGACTCGCCTAAGCTGTTTACTCTTTGGCCTTTTTTTTTTTCCTTTTTTATCGGTACCAGGGATCGAACTCATGACCGCCTGCTTGCAAGGCAGGTGCTTATACCGCTGAGCTAAATCCCCAGCCCCTACTCTTTGGCCTTTTGCAGAAAAAATTTGCCAACTCCCACTTTAAGTTATGTCTATGAGAATTACTTGCAGCTATTTCACAGGTAATACTTCTGAATGTTTAACATATACACATACCTACAAAACAAAAATTTAGATATTAGAATATATATATATATCATGTGTAGCAAACAGCTTTTCTTCTGTGCCCAAAGGGCTAAGTTTGGTTTTCTGATAAATAGGCATACAACAATAACATTATTCATTACTTTGCTTTTTGATCTGATTTTACTCTGGCTAGTAAGCTGGTAAAATGTTTACTAGCATTTCCTTCATTGCTTGTATAAAAGTGAGGTTAGGAGGATACAGCTGGGATGAAATCAGGTGTGTATAAATTGAAGGTTCCTTCATTCTTCCTTGTCATTGCTGTTTTGAAACAGAGGCTGTGTTGCCCAGTCTGGTCTTAAACTTACAGATTTTAGCAGTCCTCATTCCTTAGCCTCAGTTTGTAGCTGGGACTACAGGTATGTACATCACCCTCTCTTTGAGGTTACGCTGGTGATCTGATTATACTTTCTGAAAGCAATTTCCAGTTAAACCAGTGGACCTTTAAGAATATAGAGTTAACTCTTAACTTAATGTTATCCCCCCAAGAGTAGCCAGTTATGCCTTAGGGAACCCAGATTGCCCTAAGCACTTCATTGTCTATATTTGTGCTAAAAGTATGTCTATGTAGCAGCTTTGTTTTTCCATTTTAACTTTTTTTTGTGGAGGGGAGCTTTTTGAGACAGGATCTTGCTATGCAGTTCAGGCTGGCCTTGAGCTCATTCTGTAGCCCAGGCTGATCTCAAGTTTGCAATGATCCTCCTGCCTCAGCCTCCCAAATACTGGGATTACAGGCATGCCCCGCCATGCCTGGCTTCTCCATTTTCACTTTTTAATGATTATTTTTTTCTATTTTGGTTGCAAAAGTTTTCATTCTTTTATCTGAGCTTCCCCCATAAAAAATCTTTTTCCTGTTAAATTCTGCTCTATTTTTTCATCTGTTCTCTTTAAGCTATCCTATCCATTGATGAGAAACAGAACTAGGATTTCTTCCTTTACTTCAGCATATGTTTGCCATTACTTTATCTCCTTTTAATTCCCATGTGAGGATCTTGCTGGAATATTATATGTATTTTTTTAAATTTCAGGCTCTCTACTGTAATACTGTATTGACAGTTTTATGTAGGTAAATTGTCTTTAGTTGGACCTGAAACAAATTTTTCATTTACCAATTCCTCTTGAGTTACATTTCAAATTTTAATGTATTATAGTCACTCTTTTTATGAAAGTAGGAAATAATAGGCGATAAATATATTGTTTATCTAATCTCTGATATGCTAAAACATATCATTTTGTTCAGTTTTCTATTTACTTCTAAGTCTACCTACTTCGTTATTTCTGTATGGCTAAAAATGTTATAGCCACTGTGCTATTAATTTTTGTTCTATCATGAAATTTTTAGCTTCCCTTTTATCTAGTTATTGTTTTATTCTGTAGACATACTTGTTTTACTCGCATTAAATCAAGTAAGTGACTGTGGCTGGATAGCATAATTTTCAAGGACTTTTTCTTACAGGTTCTGAAGCATAAGAGCTGTGCTTTATTCTATCCTTTGATTTCTATTTTGAAGAAATTTTTAAAAATTTTTATTTTATTTGGTACCAGGGATTGAACTCACAACTTTGCGCTTGCCAGGCAGGCACTTATGCTGCTGAGCTAAATCCCTGGCCCCTAGTTTATTTTGAAGAGAATAAAACAAAACAATAAAACAGAACAATGA